TCATAGAAATGACATTTAAAAAGCTGTAAGTACAGTGCTTATTTGCAAACTTTCAAGTGAATGGTGTGATCTTGTTCGTAGGTTATTAGTAAAAATGTATGTTACCTGAATAAACGCACCTAGTGCGCAGTCCCTGATCATTTCTGAAGTTGAATCATGGACGTGGTGCATTCCGAAACGTTTTGCTGGTATCATAGTCGGCATCGTCAGTAAGTATTGACCAAAAGTGTGCAAAACAATTGTGGTATCTCCCTTTCTGCCCTGGGTTATTCGCGTTTACGGTGTCATCCTATCATGCCTTCGCAATTAAAATTTTATTGTGTTTATTTAGATATAGTGTGGTTCATAGTTTGTTAGTAAAAATGTATGTTACCTAAATGAATCCTGAAGTGAAGATTTTATTGTGAAGTCAAGTTGCAAATGCTACTAAGACAAATTTAATTATCTCTCAAGTAAAAAATTTTGAAACATTTTTACTTTGATATGTAATTTAATAGCTATTCTTACCATTATTGTTAGTTTTAATTGATCATTACTCTTTGTTCCAAGCAGGCTCGTTTTCCGATACAGTCATGAATGAAATTCTAGAATCCACTTCCACCACACTTGCTGCTCCTGAATTAGCTAGAGTTTGCTCTCGTCGCTGGACTTTCGACTTAAATTACAGGTAAGCAAATGCAAAGCATGGGTAGCTCAATCTTTATCACGCGTTTGGGTATCATTTTATAAATAACTCCTTCGTCATTTAGAAATAAATCATCATGTAATTCACCTGATTTACCACATCCGCCTGGATATTTTGAGAGAAGCTTCCCAAACACAACGGTCCGTAATAATGATCCTAACCTTACTGTTAAGCGAAGCTGGGATATTGCATTGGGCCCCTTCAGACAGGTTCCAATGAATTTTTTTATTCTTTGGATGGCTGGGAACTCCATATCTATATTTCCCATTATGATGGTGATGATGCTGTTTTTCAGACCCATTCAGGCACTCTTATCCATACATGCGAGTAAGTTGATGCTATATATCTATATTTCATACCAATGTGTTTACTGTATAAGAACTTTGTTCAATTAAGGTCATTAGGCATACTCTCACAATGTTTATACA